AAGAGGCAAAAGCTGATGGGAATACCAAGAGGCCCTAGTGAGCGATTATGTTGACAAGCTCGTGATCATAAGTGCTGCTTAAAACGCCAAGTACTGAAATACAATCAGTTTTTGTTCTATAGCATCGCTTAGCCGTAAATCATGGTGTACCGAATGTCAATAACTCAGCATAACCACTCTTGACTTATAATGCTGAAAACAGTGGTATAGTTTCCTATTCAGCTAGGAAGGGTACTCCAGCTCACCTCCATTTCTAGTTCATTTGAGGTGGAGTTAGAGCTGTGAACTAAAAGCGTACGGCGAGATAAGGACCCACGAAATCCTGTCATTTTAGGCATGACGTCTTAAGACCAGGCGGTGGCCAGTTGGTTCATGTTAGCGTTCACGTTTGTCCGTATGAAATACTTAAATGCACCATGCTGCAGTATGCACGGGTACCTTTGTAATAGAATGGACACAGCATTGGTCTTGGACACAGGATGATTCAGTGTAAACCTAAGCAAGTGTCTGAATATGTGTAGGTCCTGCAAAACCTTATCAGTTAAGTGTAAGCACGAGAAAATTACGGATCGGTTCTCATTTGATTCCTTCAGGCTCCATCGAGTTTCATCCGGTTACACCCACTTCCATCTGGTTTAGTCCGGTTCCCTCCTGCGTCGTCCGTTTCCGTCCGGTCCTGCCAGGCTCGGTCCGGTTCCTTCCAGTCATGTCTAATCTTGTATGGTTTCGCCCGATTCCGTTCGATTTGGTTTGGTTCCGTCAAATTCCGTCTCGTTCCGCCTTGTTCCATCCGATTCCCGTTTGGTTCCGTCTGGTCCCGTTCTGCCCCGTCAGGTTCCTTTGAACCACGTCCGGGGACACCCGATCCTGTCTGATCGTGTCCGGTCACATTTGGTCCCGCCTGATGCCGTCCGGTTCAGCCCGGTCCCGTTCCATCTAGTTTGATCTTGTCTCGTCCGGTTCTATATCATCCGGTCCCATCTAGTTTGTTCTCACCTGATCCCCTCCGTCGTGATCTGGTCCCGCACGGTCCCATCCGCTCCCGTCCGTTCCCATTCAGCCTCGTCCAGTCCCACCTGTCCCTCCTGTGGCCACAGCTTTATCTCGTCGCATACCGGGTGTCAAATCCTCATGACCTTTCTGTTTTAAATCATTTTGGCTGCTGGCGTTTTGACTTATCCGGGCTGACCTTTATTGCTGTCGATGTTCTGTCTTCCGCTTTATGCTGTTTCCACCTGTATCCACTTTGATTTGTATCGCATTCAATTTGTTGCCGTTCCCATCCTTTCGCTCAACCTTTTCCATTCGACTGTAAATCCAGGAACCTCAAACTTTCAGACCGAACTCCCTAAGTTTCTCCGCCGACTTGTTTCAGCGGTCCGTCAGAAACTTTGGCATCAAGACACATGTGCCCTCACTGAGATATCTATCGGAGAAGTAATGTTAACACCGATCTTTGGGACAAAAAAAAACTTGTGAGTGTTGAATATTTACCGATGCGCTTGAATTGACATTTAATTCAGTGAACACAACACGTCGTTTTATTGTTAAGTGCTTCTGGCAGGATTAGCCCTAAAAGGTTTTAACCCATTTCTTGAACCGAAGCACAGTTGATTGTATACAAAACATGTTGAATTGGGGATCAAATAAATGCAAGATCACAATATGTCAACGAAATGCCACTATCTTTGCGGGTGTCAATCCTTGGTTGGGTGGCTGGCGAATGACTGGATGCGTCAAATGCATAGCAAGCCGCTGATATGAAACACAGCACGTTAAGGGCTTAAATTTGAGAAATTATCCCTATCCCAGCGTATTTGCTAGCTCAAAAAAGGCAAGTTGGTTAACGTTTTTCAGAGTTGGGTATGATGTGCCGGTCTCTCCTGTTTTGTTCGACACGACCATGAAGTTACATTTTTTCCCACAACGGCTACTAAACGAAGGACATTAATTCCGTCGCGGGCGTGAAAGTGAAGCCCAACCGAGCTGCGGCAATTTCTGGGGTGATGCGGCAATACTCAAGAAGTTGTTTTCCCACGGGGCGTACTGATTTCCTCCACGTAGGTGGCGGGACACAGAATGTATCTGGCTTGGTAAACCACGCTGTTGACCCCAGTAAAAGGAAGTTTTGTTTCAAAATGGTCACAATGTTCACCTATCTTTCATAGAATAGGGGTAGTCTCTACTCGGATGTCACCCCTCCCCTTTCAATGCATTGCTCTAAGTGACAGATGCTGTCTATTCCACGGCCCCACTGTCTCCGAATATCCATCTGGCGATTGCTTGCTGGATCTTTGTCCCGGATATAAACAGCTCCCAGCTTTTTTTGCTTCACTTTTCACAAGCACTTAGCAAATATGTTGGCATTTTCCACCGATTGGGATAAAAAAACGCACTGCCTGGAGCCAATGTCACATACCGCTTTTATGTACCATCCTGGAGATGCCTTGCCATTTGCGTTGTTAGTGTGGTCGTCATATGGCCGATGCACGAGTTTGGTTGGCCCGGCCAGTCGCCAATGGGGCATTTAATTTTACAGACAACATTCGTCATTTTCAGGAGTAACTTATTTGGCAACAGGTTTTTCTTCGCAATCGGGTTCGATATTCTGGGACTTTTGTTGTAAATTATGACCTAAATGTCGGGACTTCCTGGGAGTTAGGAACTTAAAACTATATCACGAATAGCCTTTCCTACAGGCTTGTAGGCAACGACTACTGCTTTGGTTATTTAGTTTGATGTCAGTGTTTATCACCTTTCATCTCCTTGCTCTTCGTGTGAAGGGAAGTGTATGTGAAGCCGCCGACGTATCTGGTTGTCTATATCAGAGAGACTCTAAGTCTCACTGAGCAGAGCGTTTTTAATTCTGGCGATCTCCTGGTATACAAAAGCCCTATCATGCAACGTTTAAGTGTTCTGTGTATGTGTGTCCAGATCACGCTTTTGTTTTAGTCTTTGTATCGGTCTGAACACTCGGTTAAATCATCCAGGGATTTGTCAGTGTCTGTGGGTTTTCTAAATACTGAAGTTACGTGATGCATACCTGAGTCATCAACATCTGGTCTAAAAACAGAACCATTGGGTAAATTGATAACTCTACTGAAAATTATAGAATTGAGGTTTCTTGAAATTTTAACTCTGGGAAGAAAAGCTGCTGCCGGCTTGGTATATCGACGAAAATAACGTTATTTCGACAGTATATGGACAGATCATGAACAGTGTAAGCTTCTGAGATGTGAATGAAAACATTTTTGGCGAGTGGTTCTGTACAATTTGCTATGCCTTCTGTCTAATGTTAAAGTTATCATCCCCAGATACACTTGATAGGTGTGGAAGGTTATGTCGCTTGCATGCTTCGTGAAAATCTAATTTTTCAGCTGGGAAATTTATACATGTGATGTCGGGCTTCGTTTTCTCTTTCTTTTGTGCACAGTGCGATTGAGGCCTATTCATTGCCATACTTATCAGGCCCGCAATATATATATATATATATATATATATATATATATATATATATATATATATATAGATAGATATATATATATATATATATATATATATATACCGTAACCGCAACACACTGTCGCCCGTCACAACACGCTACAAGCGTCAACGGCCCAGCTGGAACGGTCCAAGCTCTCACAAATGCCCGCAACATATCCATTGGAACACCATCTGCACTCACAGTAAGGCACAGGTAACCTGGATCCAAAGGCGGCGCAGCGGTGATGGGAGAGAGTATGTGTTTGCCTGCTCAGATTTTTTGGAAGCCCTTTTTCCCAAAACTAAAGATGTTTAAGCTTCTCATATTTCGCCAAATTTCATGTCAAGGAGGCCTCCATAGCTGAAAGGCGGCACTAAATTGGGCTCATAAGACTCTTGTTGGCATTAAAAGGCCCGTCTTCTGGATCAAGATGCACTTCTTTATGTTTAGTAGGCTCCTGAGTAGGCTTGCTGGCTCGGGACGTCCTTGTTATGAAATTGCAGTCTCCTGTTCTAGATTATAAGGCACCTCTATACATCAGGAGACCTGTGTTTGAGACCAGGAGGCTACTCTACGCGTCAGAGGCCGCTACCCCTATAAGAATGGCCTGTTTTGGGATAATTAGACGCGTCATCAAATTTGGAGGCCGTGTACCAATCAGAATGCTCCTATTTTGAATTAAGAGGCTCTTCTATACATCATAAGGCCTACCGGAATAGAATAGGTGACCTTATCTTGGGATAGCTCTTTGCTGGATCGAGAATGTGCCTGTATTCATCGGAAGGTCGTTATTCGGAATCTTTGTAAAGGCGCCAACACCAATTCACATGTGTGTTGATACATATGAACAATTTTAATATGGCGGACATGCCACCTTTCATTACAACTCTATCCAAGAGGCCTACCGTGGCAACTAAATTTGGTCCTGGAGGCCCCCTTGGAGAAAAATCTGCCCAATGACACATTGCGGTCCTCACGACATGTACGATGCCACTGATCTGCAGCGTGGCAGCGCATTGTGTATTTACTGCGATTTGCAGTTCTCGAGAATTTCGGCAGAAGCTCAACCTGACAATCCTATTGTTCATAGTCTTGGTTTCATGAGCTGCTGGAAAATCGAAATTTATATTTCTACCTTGTTCTTTATGCATCTTTCGCAAATAATGCTACAGGATGTTAAACCATGTTTCCATGAAATAAAACTTAACGGAAACAGTTTCAATGCGTACCACGATGTTTCGAGACTTGTGAACTCAAAAGAACGACCGAATGCATCTTTGCTCTCATGTAAATGCTGCAGGAGGGAACGTGACCACGTGGAGATTGAATGATCTAAGAGTTTCGTGTCCCGTGCGATGGCCCAGCCGTGACCACCGTCTGCCGAGTGGAGGCGGAAGGAACTGCGTTTTCGATGACTGGGGATTTTGGAGGACGCCGTCCGTCGAGTGGGCCGGTGTGGCGTCACCCACCGGGCCGGGAGACCTTCAGACGCGCCAATCACCGGGCCGAGCGACGCCGACAGCGTCACAGCATGTCGGGGTATATAAGCCAGCGATGGACGGCGAGAAGCATACAACGCTCCTGGTTTCACAGCCGTCACCACTTCTACCTTCTCGGTGAGCAGAGGCACCGCTGAGCCGAACGTTTGGTTTGAGCTCACATGCCTCGCAGCAGTAATAATGCGTTTGCTTCGCATTGAACGAGAGGATGCTCAAATCTCGTTGACATAAGAGAATTAACTGGTTTGAATGTCATTATCATACGTTGCCGGAGGGCTTTGGTGTATTAATAGTCATTCACGAACTCTAAAGTTACTGAATGTTGTCTAACGACATATATCCTTTTCGCCATGTCTTTGACTCACGGATACATCCACCTAACGTTGCATTACACTCGCCAGTGTCCTTACTCCAAAGCCAAATAACTCTTCTCAGAGCGCGGCTGTTGGTTTAGCCCCGCTATCTCATCACGTGCTTGTCGCGCCGTCCCGGTGCACGACGTCCCTTCTCCTAACCGCCCATCGCCTCGGCGCTCTGTGACCCCTGGCCACGTCTCGTTCCAGCCAAGATGCACTTCTCTCGCGTTGCGCTGGCGCTGGCCGCCGTGCTGCTGACGGTCGACGCCACCTTCATCGTCGGCACGGCCGGCACGGTGGGCGTGGGCGCCGCCTACGCCGGCGTGGCGCTGGCGGGCGTGGCCGGCCTGGCGCTGGGCGCCGGTCTGGTCGGCGCGCTGGCGCTGCGTCGTGGCAAGCGCTCGGTGGCCGCCGTCCAGCAGACCGACATGGTTCTGGACATGGTGGCCGCCGCCGACGCCTACGGCTGCGCCCTCAAGCTGGTCTGCATGATCGAGTCGAAGCCGGATGACCAGCTGAGCGCCGAGGACGAGCTGATCCTGCAGCTGTTCGGCCGCGCTCCGGCCGCGCTCACCGAGGAGGAGGTCGACACGCCGCGCAAGGCCTACTTCTACGCCGCCTACCTGGGCACCTCTCAGGGCAAGGACGCTTGCCAGAAGGTGTTCCACACCTGCGACGCCAGCTACGGCCAGATGATCGCCTACGTGCGCGCCCTCCGCGCCTAAGCCTCGCCTCGCCAGTCACCACATCACCTAGCTGTAGATGTTCATCGTTCGCAGCATCATCACTGGGAGGCTGAGGTCCCGGCCGCAGGCGGTCATGCAGTCCGGTCCTGGTGGCCCGCACCCCATCGCGTCAGAAGCCAGCTTGGCACTATTCTTTTGTACTGTTTTCTCACGCGTGTGCGCAACGGATGTGCCCTCGGGTAAAATTCGTTTGCGGCATCGTCTAGTCCACCTCGGACGACGGCACGCAGAGGCCAGGAGCTGTATTACGTGCTGCCAGGAAGTAGCACCATGCTGACTACTCACCGACTGGGTTTTTAGCCTTGCAGCACTGTGAGGGCTTTAAACAGCTGTTGTATTACTTCGAGTCATTTATGTGTCGTTTTTTTGTCATTGTCGTATATGATCTTGTGTACTGATGCAAAGCAGGGTGAAAGTACATACCATTGGTTTGTACTAGAATACAAAGTGCATGCACTTAACGGTTTTGTGATCCGACAGGGTGAGAGTAGTGCAAACAATGCGTACAGCTAACACATCCGAATAATGTATGCATTATACCAAAATTCCACCTACTTCAAGTTACCGCAGCTTATAGGCATTATTTGTACTGATTAGTTGCAGAGGCTTTTGCTATCTTAGATTTACAAGGGGGTGTTTCATACCTCCTCGAATATCTCTGCACACTACAAGTCCACCTGGATGATTAAATCGGAAGAGGATGTTATGCCTCCAGTACATGTTAACTTGGTCACATTCCAGGCAACAATCAAGGATGCCTCTTATGAGGTCATTAATAGTATCAAATAGTATAATTTATAACAAGTTTTGCATCTTATATATATCCAATCAATATTTTCCAATTCGCTACAAGTTAATGACGCAAGATATGTTAAATTACAAAGTTTTTCCCAAACCGATGCCGATATACATGTGAGCACGGCATGCAAAACTTATCGATTGGATTACAAGACGGAAACTAGTAACTTCTGAAATGGTTCATAGCGCGTTAATATTATATATTTTCTATCCATCTAACTTTTGATTGCTTTCCAATTGTCCTTAAAACTGTTTTTGAGGTTTCAAAATGCATTGGCGAGGATCTAAAAAAAACATCCTCTGCTATCACGGATAGAATGCTTGTTCAAACTGTCGTTCTCGTCTTGAGTGTAAGCATGCACACCCTTCAGACCAAACTAGGGCGACAGTCCGAACAATTAGCCTATCAGTTATACCAATAACCTATCTCAATTATTCTGTATTACTTTTATTTATGGCCTATGCAACATTTTTTTATTATGTGTCAAAAAGCCATATTCAGGGATTTCTTGGGCAGTTTTACATATATTCAAGCAATAAGAGCGATTTCTATCAAGTCAAGGTGGTTTACCTGATGATATTTATGCAAGAGACAGAACCAACGGCACAGTAAGGTTCTCAGTACTAAAGCCCCAGTGTGGTACAAAATATATTCACTGCACCGGACGTCTTCAGATTCAGACATCGGCGCGCAGGACATCGCTCTCGCGTGCGTTGAACTCAGACCAGGCCAGATTGCGCTGAATTTTCTCATCATTGTTTTCGTGAATGGTAAGGTGTATGTAGCTACTCTGACTGAAATTTCCTTTGCAATGTCACAATTATTTGCTATGTTGGGTCTCCACGCGTCCAAGATGACACTGATCGTTCTGTTATTTCATCACAATACCTCAGTTGGTTAGAGGGCATGCTCTCTGATTCACCTAACCGTGGCATGGTGGGCTCCAGTCGCTTTCGGTGCTCGCTATGGCCTGCGGAGGGTGGCAGCGACTACGCCAAAGGTCAGTGGCGCCAGAGGGCAGAACGGACCGTGCTGAGCATTGTGGCACATTAAGCTCTCGCCGTCAAGTGCTGTCGTTGACCGCTAATGCCGCGATCGGATGGTGGGTTCCGGCACCAGCAACAAGCATTGCTTAGCGTGGCTCATCACCGAGAGCCATGCAATCAGTGGGTTCTGGCAAAAGAGGAGAAATGAGTAGCGTCACAAGCCAACTATAAGCGGATTAATTATGCTGATAATTTCCTATTTCCGGACATACTTTGTAGCCACTTTCTGGCTATGAATTATGGAATGAAATCGGCTCGCATTCACATGCCATGTTTTTTTCTCTTTAGATTAGTGAACATCTGGCTCCTGCTATTGCAATAAAATGAAGTCTATAACATAGCAGGCTACTAAAACGTCGTCGAGATTCAGGTTGACGTCGCGGGCTTGACATGTCAGAACAAGACTGCCGGGCGCGCCGGTGTGAATGAGCCACAGAGCCAGTGCCTTATGAACAACGGTCGTGACGAGCCCTATTGTTTAACCCCAGCTGGCATTGTTTATCTGGCGAGGCTGACACCTCAAGAACAGCTCGCAGGATTATGACATGTCAACTTACTGAGCTGGAAGCAGTCAACAGACGGGGACAATTTTACTCGCAAAAACTGTGATTTGCGTACGACGTTGCATGCAAAAATCAATTGCTTTTCCGAGATGGGTGGCGCGTAAAAACACTCAAGGGGCCACGCCTTTTTTAACACTATGAAAAATTTAATGTCACAGGGAACCTAGCAAGCCCAACCGAAACTTAAGGTAGTCATTTGGTGAAGGACTTTTCTGAGGTCCATCGATTTGTTTCAATACATGATATGCTTCAAACCTGGGAAACATGTTAACAGCAGTGTGCGGCAGCCTACAGGCGTCTGCCGGTCCAAAGGACCCCAAAACTCCGGCTGTGAGGGGCCCATATCGGCCAGTGACCTCCAGAAGACCTTGACCTCTTTCCACTCCCTCCTGGTGCGCCGCCCTCTGTCAGCCAGGCGTTTGTATTCCTCGCTGACGTTGCCCAGCTCCAAGATTTATGCAGCTGATTGTTCGTCGGCCCAATATGCGGGGAGGCACCTATCAATGATGTGCCTTTTGGGAGGACCAGGGTCAGCCGGTGGCCTCGCCGTCGGCACGTCCTCGCTCCCGAAGGGCGACGCGCGTGCGCCGGGGGCCCGGCCATCTCTGGCCACGCCGCCGGCGTGTGACGCAACAGGGCGCGCTGCATAGACCCCGCCCCGGGCGCCGCGGCCGGCGGACGGGAAAACGAATGGTGTCAGCGATCCGCACGGAAACGGTGAGACACGTGGCCCCTGGGGGTGACTGAAGCGCGGTGGCTCCACGCACATGAAACCCAAGGACTGGTGGAGGGTGAGGATGATGGCGCGGTTCAGAAACCATTGCGCTGAACCGTGAACTCCAGCCGGGCCCCCTAACCAATGATTGGCCCAGTGAGTGCATATGCATTGCTCAAGACGGCGGGCCATCGCTCGGAGCTCTTAAAACCCGTACCAGCAAGATGCGCCAAGTAATATCAGTGGTAACACCACCAGCTTTTTTAACTAGTCAGAACTTTTGTTTGGATGTATTTTTGGGATCAGTTCGCACGCTAAGCAGCGTGTGTTGCGTGAATACTGACCTCATTATCCTTTGTGAAATTGTTGGTGAACGGCAGAAGCTTGCGGTGAAACCTTAATTTGTCACAATACTTGGTGCGATGCGTCCTGTCCTCTGACGCTACCCGACCTTTAGCGCGGCTGCTTCCATCAGCCGCAAGCCATCCCAGCCGGGGGAGGAGGGAGGGGGGGGGGGCGCCTAAAGCGACTCATATCCTCTCCACGACGGGTGCAAGAATCGAACGGTAGGCGTTCTTATCAACTGAGCTATGGAACGGACTGAATGTGTTTGGTTATATGCTCGATTGTCAGCACGGCTACAGTTAAAGGATGTCATGCTAAGTGACGTAGAATGATATTTGCTCGGGGTCGCATTTTGCTATGATGATTTCACTTCCGTTTACTCACTTCGTTTTAACCGCATCTATAAGATAAATTGTCGCAGTTATTTGACGCTTCCAATTTACCTTATAAATCATAGCTTTTAACATGCGCATGGGTGGCCGGTAAGATACCCTTCGCTCGAGTGGGGGTCATTTTGACCCCCCTGGTATCTCAGGAACCAAGAGAGCTGCAGACGCCAAATTCACAGGGTGTGTTGATCTGCATGTGAACTCACTTAGGTCAAAGTTTGAGGTTCTTACGTCATGACGTTTGGGTCAAACAACGTCACATTCCAGGTTGGTCTCCAAAGGGCCCCTGGAACCTAGATAACTGTTCTGAGCAAAAGATCACATGCTCATCTAAGGTCAGTGACATTGTTTGACCTTTTGAAAGTCATGGTGAGCAACATTTTAGAAGACCACTTTGAATTTTTAGTTTGGATGAGCGACAAAGATCACGCAAGGCAGTATGTTCCTAAAAACAAGATGCTAGCCTGGTTCGCTCTAGGTCAGTGACCTATTCTGGTCATTAAAAAGCCTACGGAAGGTGTATAATGTGGTTCCTGTCAGGAATAAGTTCGAAAAGAGCACCAAAAACCACCCCATACAGCAAGCTGTGAAGTAATAAAGCAGGTTGATTTTGACCTTGGTCCGACTTTCAGAACTGACCCTAGGTCAATGTAGTTTGTTCATTTAATTGTTCTGTTGTCTAAGAAAGTATTTCAGAGATGTGTGTCTTCGTCTAACACTCCGTTGTTGGACCAAATTAAACGATTCCATAGAAATTGCCTTCGTTGAAACCATGGCCCGACTTTGACCTGCCATAGGTCAGCGACCTTATAAAGTACATCTACGTTCTTATGCCAGATGATCCGCTTTGAAACTGGCCACAGCTATGCAAAATTACTCACGGCTACGCCGCGCCGTTCGGAAACCATTCCGGAAAAACCTTGGGGGTCAATTTGTCTCCCACTCGAGTGCGTGTTAACAAAACTTCCGCTCGTCATACTTGGTCATGACCATTGACCATATTTCAACGTCCATATTTCTAGTGACGTCATTGGCCATTTCATGGTTTCTAGACCTGCTATAACTTTCCCTTCTCCAGACGTTTGATAGCGGTGTTTATACAAATACTGGCGCTCTTTGGTGCCAGCAACGTATCACTCGTCTTGCTGTGGAACATCACTAGGTGACTCTGAATAAGATGGACAAGGTTACTTTACTTGACTGCACATTATGAGCGTGCCTCAGGCAAGGTATGTCCAGCTCAGTGCATTGAACCGGTGGAAATGTCCACCGTAACGTGGCCTGTGTTCAGTTTACGACAGAGACCACAGGGACTGCTTTCCATGCTCTCATCTATCGCTCACTGCTATGCTTGGCATAAGTCGAGATGCGTACTATCGGCGCACTGTAGTCACCGATAAATTCGAGCCCACTGCCCGTGATCTCAGCGGGCTGTGCCGCAATGCTCGGCGACAGCAGCGCTGCATGGCCAACGAACCGGAGCTCGGGCGCCAGAAGTCGGAGAGCGCGCGGTCCACCGCGGCCACCGCCGCACATCCAGAGTTGATTCGTTTCGGGGTCACTGCCGTACATCCAGAGTTGATCCCCTTCGGGGTCACTGCCGC